TCTGTCTACTAAAGTACAGGATTCTCACCAACTACTCTTTTCAGTGGACTAAGAATTTGACTTTTTCACATATATTGCAAATTTACATGGAGAAGGAAATGGCCAATTTACAACTAATTAAAAAGCCCCTCCATTGGTTCTCAGTTGATGGTCTGCAGATCAGACTTGGAGATACTCTCACCTCATCAGATTCCATTCTTTCATAGGAATAAATTTAAGGCCAGCCTGAGGGAATGACTTATCTAAAATCACATAGCACATGAGTGAGACAAAAGGAGATGACACCAGTTTCAGCTAGAACTCATTTTTAGTTGGAAAAGCAAAAAGCACCATTAATGAATGAATTTCCACCCACCCATCCTTACCCAAGTTACCCTCTGTCATAACTAGAGTAGAAACATCAGACAAGACTTCTCCACAAACAAGCTTCTGATATCTTTTTCAATGCTTTCATTGAGAGGAATGATAACCCAACATCTCAGAAAAGAATTTACCAGACCCTCTCATCAGTCTGCAGGTCATTTTCAGGTCACTTGGTTGAGTCCACTGTTAAGGGCATTTATTGACATAACCTCCTGCCACCTAAACTGTTCTCAGAGAAAGTCCAGGCAGAAATCGACAGAGTGATTGGTGCACACCGTCTCCCAGCTCTGGAAGATCGGCCAAAAATGCCTTATACAGATGCCGTCATCCATGAGATTCAGAGATTCAGTGACCTAGTCCTTGTTGGTATCCCCCACTCTGTCATCAAGGACACTCACTTCCGGGGATATTACCTCCCTAAGGTGAGACCAGCAGGGTCGCAAATCTTGATTGTAGGTGCTGTATGCCTCCAATCCTATGGTTCATATCTGATTGTTGGACTATGATAAGAATTTTCATTTCCAGATTTCTATGGAAGAGAAGAGATTTTAGAAAGATACTGAAGTCTTCTTTCTTCTTCTCAGTCATATTTATTACCTTTACAAGATATTAGGTTTACTGGAGGAAATAGAATATACTTTTGAAGCTTGTTATACAGTAGAGTTGGTTTTTTTGAACCTTATAAAATCATTTCTTCTTAATGTTTATATGAACCCATGTGTTTATATATATCCATACACACAACAATTGGTTCATACTGTGACAGTCACTTTGCAACTGAGTGACCTTGTCTTTCTATGCATCTAGCACAATTTTCAATTTGTGTGTGTGTGTGTGTGTGTGTGTGTGTGTGTGTGTTTGTATGTGAGTGTGCCTTTCTTTTTCTAATATAACAGTTTGCTGTGGATGTACTGTTCAGGTCAATGCCTATGGTTATAACTCATTTTATTTTATTTTTTGTGGTAGCTTACGTTGCTGAGTATAGGTGTACCTAGAGGTGATATCCAGAGTTTTGAATCACCCAATGAACAGCACCCATCAGGTTATATTCTGGCCCCAGTCTTGGAGTCAGCTCTTTATAGGGCTCTGCTGAGTCAGATGTGAACCTTTTAGTTGATGGATCATAAAGTAGACCAAGGGGTCTTGGGGCTGAGGGATCAGGGTGGTTGGTGAGGATACCTGGAGAGATGGGACACTAGCAACCAAATGGGGGAGAGTCATTTCAGCATTCCTGCCACCACCTCTAGAGCCGCACAGTGGATGCAGCTCATTATCAGCTGTGGAGGCACCATAATAGATTCAGCCACTCTTTGTTAATGGTCATTTGGGTCCAGGGTCACAGAAACCCCAGTAAGATGGTATGCACTGGGAGAGGGCATTAGAGGGCAGACAGCCTGAAACCACAATCACAGAAAAGTAACCAGTCTAATCACATGGACCACAGCCTTGTCTAACTTAATGAAACTATGAGCCATGCCATCTAGGGCCACCAAAGATAGATGGGTCATGGTGGAGAGTTCTGACAAAATGAAGTCCACTGGAGAAGGGAATGGCAAATCACTTCAGTAATCTTGCCTTGAGAGCCCAATAAACACTATGAAAAGGCAAAAAGGTAGAACACTGTTAGATGAACTCCCCAGGTCAGTAGGTGCCCAATATGCTACTGAAGATCAGTAGAGAAATAACCCCGAAAAGAATGAAGAGACAGAGCCAAAGCAAAAACAACACCCAGTTGTGGATGTGGCTGGTGATGGAAGCAAGGTCTGATGTTATAAAGAGCAATATTGCATAGGCACCTGGAATGTTAGGTCCATGAATCAAGGCAAATTGGAAGTGGTCAAACAGGAGATGGCAAGAGTGAATGTAGACATTTTAGGAATCAGCGAACTAAAATGGACTGGAATGGGTGAATTTGACTCAGATGACCATTATATCTACTACTGTGGGCAAGAATCCCTTAGAAGAAATGGAGCAGCCATCATGGTCAACAAAAGGGTCCAAAATGCAGTATTTGGATGCAATCTCAAAAACCACAGAATGATCTCTGTTCATTTCCAAGGCAAACCATTCAATATCACGGTAATGCAAGCCTAGGCCCCAACCAGCAATGCGGAAGAAGCTGAAGTTGAATGGTTCTGTAAAGACCTACAAGACCTTCTAGAACTAACACCGCAAAGAGATGTCCTTTTCATTATAGGGGACTGGAACACAAAAGTAGGAAGTCAAGAAACACCTGGAGTAACAGGCAAATTTGTCCCTGGAGTACAGAATAAAGAAGGGCAAAGGCTAATAGAGTTTTGCCAAGAGAACGCACTGGTCACAGCAAACACCCTCTTCCAACAACACAAGAGAAGACTCTACACATGGACATCACCAGATGGTCAACACTGAAATCAGATTGATTATATTCTTTGCAGTCAAAGATGGAGAAGCTCTATATAGTCAGCAAAAACAAGACCAGGAACTGACTGTGGCTCAGATCATGAACCCCTTATTGCCAAATTCAGACTTAAATTGAAGAAAGTAGGGAAAACCACTAGACCATTCAGGTATGACCTAAATAAAATCCCTGAAGAATATACAGTGGAAGTGAGAAATAGATTTAAGTGACTGGATCTGGTAGACAGAGTGCCTGGTGAAGTATGGATGGAGGTTTGTGACACTGTATGGGAGACAGGGATCAAGACCAATCCTAAGGAAAAGAAATGCAAAAAGGCAAAATGGCTGTCTGAGGAGGCCTTACAAATAGTTTCAAAAAGAAGAGAAGTCAAAAGCAAAGGAGAAAAGGAAAGACATACCCATTTGAATGCAGAGTTCCAAAGAATAGCAAGGAGAGATAAGAAAGCCTCCCTCAGTGATCAGTGCAAAGAAATAGAGGAACACAATAGAATGGGAAAGACTAGAGATCTCTTCAAGAAAAGTAGAGATACCAAGGGAACATTTCAAGCAAAGATGGGCTCAATAAAGGACAGAAATGGTATGCACCTAACAGAAACAGAAGATATTAAGAAGAGGTGGCAAGAATACACAGAAGAGCTGTACAAAAAAAGATCTTCATGACACAGATAATCATGATGGTGCGATCACTCACCTAGAGCCAGACATCCTGGAATGTGAAGTCAAGTGGCCCTTAGGAAGCTTCACTATGAACAAAGCTAGTGGAGGTGATGGAATTCCAGTTGAACTCTTTCAAATCCTAAAAGAAGATGCTGTGAAAGTGCTGCACTCAATATGCCAGCAAATTTGGAAAACCCAGCAGTGGTCACAGGACTGGAAAAGGTCAGTTTTCATTCAAATCCCATAGAAAGGCAATGCCAAAGAATGCTCAAACCACCACACAATTGCATTCATCTCACACACTAGTAAAGTAATGCTCAAAATTCTCCAAGCCAGGCTTCAGCAATATGTGAACCATGAACTTCCAGATATTTAAGCTGGTTTTAGTAAAGGCAGAGGAACCAGAGATTAAATTGCCAACATCTGCTGGATCATCTAAAAAGCAAGAGAGTTCCAGAAAAACATCTATTTCTGCTTTATTGACTATGCCAAAGCCTTAGACTGTGTGGATCACAACACACTGTGGAAAATTCTGAAAGAGATGGGAATACCAGACCACCTGACCTGCCTCTTGAGAAACCTGTATACAGGTTAGGAAGAAACAGTTAGAACTAGACATGGAACAACAGACTGGTTCCAAATAGGAAAAGGAGTACGTCAAGGCTGTGTATTGTCACCCCGCTTATTTAACTTATATGCAGAATATATCATGAGAAATGCTGGACTGGATGAAGCACAAGCTGCAACCAAGATTGCTGGGAGAAATATCAATAACCTCAGTTATACAGATGACACCACCCTTAGGGCAGAAAGTGAAGAAGAACTAAAGAGCCTCTTGATGAAAGTGAAAGAGGAGAGTGAAAAAGTTGACTTAAAGCTCAACATTCAGAAAACTAAGATCATGACGTCTGGTCCCATCACTTCATGGCAAATAGATTGGGAGACAGTGGCAGACTTTATTTTTCTGGGCTCCAAAATCACTGCAGATGGTGACTGCAGTCATGAAATTAAAAGACACTTGCTCCTTGGAAGAAAAGCTATGACCAACCTCGACGGCATATTAAAAATCAGAGACATTACTTTGCCCACAAAGGTCTGTCTAGTCAAAGGTACGGTTTTTCCAGTAGTCATGTATGGATGTGAGAGTTGGGCTATAAAGAAAGCTGAGCACCAAAGAATTGATGCTTTTGAACTGTGGTGTTGGAGAAGACTCTTGAGAGACCCTTGGACTGCAAGGTGATTCAACCAGTCCATCCTAAGGGAAATCAGTCCTGAATATTCATTGGAAGGACTGATGTTAGAAGCTGAAACTCCAATATTTTGGCCACCTGATGTGAAGAGCTGACTTATTGGAAAAGACCTTGATGCTGGGAAAGATTGCGGGTGGGAGAAGAAGGGGATGACAGAAGATGAGATGGTTGGAAAGCATCACCAACTCAATGGAGATGAGTTTGAGTAAATGCTGGGAGTTGGTGATGGACAGGGAGGCCCTAACATCCATGGGGTTGCAAAGAGTCAGACACCACTGAGCAACTGAACTGATGAACTGATGGTTCCACTTGTTTTTAACATCCTCTTAGGGCATTACTGTGTACCCCATCCTGAGCTCTGCCCTCCAAGACCCACGCCACTTTGAGAAGCCAAATGCCTTCTATCCTGGCCACTTCCTGGATGCGCAGGGCAACTTCAGGAGGCCAGAAGTCTTCATCCCATTCTCCATGGGTAAGTCATGCTCTTTCTTCCCCATGAAAGTGCCTGCTCACTCACACTCTGTGTGTGACTTTCTTCCTTGATCCAACTCCAAACACCAGGTGAACGTTTTGGGGAAAAAAATGACAATTTTGAAGGATAGAGAAAGACATCTACAGAGTCAAAGATAGTGTGAAGCGGAAAAGAAGGGATGAGGTATGATGGAGGAGGAAGATAGAGACTCAGCGACAGAGATAAAGTGGCAGCACAGACACACACTTGCACACTCAAAATAATAGACAAATAATGATCCATTACCAAGCACCTGTTATGTGCTAAGATCAGGGAAAGGCATTTCCCACATTTTCTGTGAAAATTAAAATAACCATTATTTTTCTAATTTATACAAAGCAAGAAAGAATAAAATTCAATTTGAAAATCACCTGTAACTTACCACTCAATCAGACTTATTAATAACAGAAGATGTCCTTTTATTAGTATGTATACAAACACAAAGGTTTAGATGGATAGGTAGTAGGTAGATAAATAGGTACATACTTGGATACACAGATAGATATGTAGACAATAGGTAAGAAAATGAAAGAATAGTAAAAAGAAAGGAAGATTCAATGATTTATTTCTCATTTGTCAATGGTTAATCCAAGCCATGGACTAGTGTGAGGTTCAGAAGGCACTTAAAGAACAGAGATTAAGGAATATTCATTCTTGGATTTGCATGTGTGCCCTGATTCAATCAGGTCTCCCGTGTGGTTCAGTGGTAAGAAATCCACCTGCCAATACAGGAGACACAGTTTCGCTCCCTGGGTCAGGAAGATCCCCTGGAGAAGGAAAGGGCAACTCGCTCCAATATTCTTGCGTGGGAAATCCCAAGGACAGAGGAGCCTGGTGGGCTACAGGCCATGGGGTCGCAAAAGAGTCAGACACAACTGGGCAACTATACAACAAAACTTAATTCAATCATCTATAAGATAATTCAACTTTTAGTCACTGACTTGAACTTTATCATATCAAAAAATTTCAATCTGAGTAGATCTAATTCTGGTTCATTTACTGATCTGTCTTTCTATCTATATAATACTGCTTGACTATTTCTACCCAAGAAATATGTTTTAATATTTTACAGTTGCTAGTCTCTCTGTATTACTCCTCTTCTATAGATAGTTTTATGGTTATTTTAAACATATTTTGTTTTTCTTCCAAGTGTCCTTTGGAATTATTTTGTCAAAGTCTCAAAAACTCCCCCTGGAATTTTATTAAGATTAACCTGAATTTGTAGTTTACATTGAATAACTTTGACAGCTTTACAAATTTGAATAACTTTGATAGCCCAGTCAAGAAGAAGGGCTTCCCAGGAGGCTCAATGGTAAAGACTATGCCTGCCAATGCAGGAGACACAGGTTCAACTCCTTGGTTGGGAAGATCCCCTGAAGGAAGAGATGGTAACCCACTCCAGTATTCTTGCCTGGGAAACTCCATGGACAGAAGAGCCTGGAAGGCTACAGTCTGTGGGCTCACAAAGAGCTGGACACGACTGAGCACACACACAGTCAAGAAGATAACATTTCCTTTGAATCAACTCTATATCAGTTGAATTTTTTTTAAACTATGTTTTGAATACTTCTAGCTAGATTTATTCCTAAGAAACATGAGAAGAGATTGTTGCTATTGTTGATATAACCTCTTTGTCAGCTCAGGCTGCCATAATAAAAGGCTACAGACTGGGTGGCTTACACAACAGAAATTCATCTCCTCATATTTCTGGAGGCTGGAGGTCTTTTCTCAGAGAGCCAGCATGGTCAAGTTCTCGTGGGGTCTGTCTTCTGGCTCACACACGGCAGCCATCTTGCTGTGACCTCACGTGGTAGAATGAGGGCTTTGGCATTACTTCCTCTTCTATAAGAACTCAATCCCTTGGAATTGTTTTTACCACATGAGAGCATTCTTCCTCCTTGCCTCCCTCCATTCCTTCCTTCCTTTCTTCCTCTTTAGTAGCTTTTTCTTCTGATTATAGAGCTAACGTATTGTTGAAAGTTTAGAGAATACAAAACGGTATAATTTTTAAACAAACAAACAAAGAAGAACACTATTCCCTCGTGGAGGCCTAAGGAACTTTTCTAATGAGCTTATCTAAACTTTATGGGCTTCTCAGATGGTGCTAGTGGTAAAGAACTTGCCTGCCAATGCAGGAGGGGTAAGACACAGATAGATTCAATCCTTGGGTTGGGAAGATCCCTAGGAGGAGGGCATGGCAACCCACTCCAGTATTCTTGCCTGGAGAATTCCATGGACAGAGGAGCCTGGTAGACTACAGTCCATAGGTCACAAACAGTCCATCAAAATGGAAGTGACTTAGCAAGCATGCATGCAAACCTAATAACCAGACTTTGCTGATGGTTGAGTGGTTAAGACCTCAGACTCCCACTGCAGTGGGCATGGGTTCCATCCCTGGTCAGGGAGCTAAGATGTCACACACCGTGAGGGGCGGCCAAAAAGAGAAGATCAACCCAATTACTTTCTAAGATCATTTCTTCAAATACCATTGCGTTGGAAGTTAGGGCTGCATCATATAAATTCTGAAAGGACACAATTAAGTTGACAGCAATTTTTTGGTATAGTATTTTAAATTTTTAGAATAGGTATATCAGAAATCCATTGGTATTTTGAAATGTATATTTCTGTCATAACCGGACAGTTTCCTTATATTACTTTTATAAGTAACCATTTTTCATTCTCTTGGGTTTTCCAAATAATTGGTGTTAGCATCTGCAAATGATGATATTTTGACTTTTCTGTTTCTTATGTTAAAGTCACATGTTTTCCCTAATATCATGAACTAGCACCTCTGGAATCATGTGAAGTAATAGTAGTGACAGAAAAAGTAGTGACTTTTTTTTTTTTTTAGTTCTACCACTTTATTGTTACCAACCCATCTCCCTCCACCCTCGTGCACACATGCTCAGTCATGTAACCCCATAGACTGCAGCCCGCCAGGCTCCTCTGTCCATGGACTTTTCCAGGCAAGAATACTGGAGTGGGTTGCCATTTCCTTCTCCTTGACTTCTAACTTTAAGGAGAATATTTTTATTTTCTCTCTTAAGCTTAATGATGTCTATGATCTATTCCAGATATTTTATGGCTGTTCTAACATATTTCATTGTTCAGTCAATAAGTCATGTCTGACTTTTTATGACCCCTGCAGCATGCCAGGCTTCCCTGTCCTTCATTATCTCCCAGAGTTTGCTCAAATTCATGTCCATCGAGTCAGTGATCCTACCATATATTTTTCTCAATTCTATTCTCTTTTTTGGCCACAACGCACATTTTGTGGGATCTTAGATCTCTGACTGGGAATTGAACCTGTGTCCCCTGCAGTGAAAATGTGGAGTACTAACCACTGGACTGCCAGAGAAGGTCCCAATTTTTCTCAATTCTAAATGAAATTAAGGAAAGATCTTTTTAATCTCTATTTTACAACAAGCTTTTATTTTTTGAAAAATTTGATCAGGATGTTATATTGAGTATTAATAATCTTTTCAGGCCCTGTCAATATGATCAAGTTGCTTTTCTCCTTTGATGTCTGAGTGTTGACTCATTCTCTCTCTTATAGAATTGGAAAAAGAGAGGCTCAGGGTCCAGGGGACTTGCCCAAGCCCCTGTAGAAAGTCATGATCTACGGAGGTCAGGGCAGGGTTAAGCTGTGATAAACTTTCTGAACATCTCAGCAACTTAAAGCCAAAAGATTGTTTTCCTGATCATGCAACATGCCCATCCCAGACCATCACAGTCATGTAGAAAAAGGAGTTAACGAGGACTCTATCCTGAAACAGGAAGACAGGGGGAAAACAGCGTGACATGTATAAGTTTAGCCCTCACTTCATGGGACTAAGAAAATCCCATCCAAGTTCAATGTAGCTGAGACGTTATACACCCAGAGGTGATCTATGAATAGCTTATGAAGCATAGTGAACTTAGCCATACACACAAGGCAGCTCTCTGTGCTCTTTCCTTCTCAGGAGACTGCGGGTCAACAGGATATAGTGGAAACTCTAGCCCAGCCCAGGGGCATGCTGGCCTCACCCTTGGTTATTTCAGTGGACACAGCCTGTGCTGAAGTCCATGGATACTTAGGGCTCCACCTCGATGGGACAATTTGTGATGGTCAACCTCATCGTGCAGGAAGATATGAGTAGGTGTTATGAGATTCAGAAAAATGGGGGCAAAGGTGGACAGAATGCTATTCAAATCTTTATAAGCATGAAGTGGGCATGACCAGTCAGAACCTCCACAGGTTGGGGTGTGGGGATTGGGTCCGGGAGGCTGACTTTGTTGGCTGCTGATTGTGGGCAGGACCAAGGAGCTGGGAGGAGGGTCAAGGTGGCCAGAAAAATGGGGACACTGAGAAGCTTAGAGCAAATGATCAGATATAGGTCAATATTTGATCAGCCAGGTGCCCACCTACTCCAGGATAGGCCATAAGTTTCAGCTCCCCTGAACCCTTCTCTCATGGTCCTCATACCTAGAGCATACTGCCACAGATTTCTCCAGCATTTTCACATTTTTTTTTCTCATAAATTGGCTTAGTTGACAGTATACATAACAAGAGACACACAGAAAATGAAAGAACTTGAGACACAAAAGGACTCGGTACCAGGAGGGACAGAGGAGGGCACTGTACTGGATAATCCTAGAGGAAGCAGAACTGAAATGCAAGATAGAAATGTGCAAACACTGCTCACCCTACGCCCGCCCCCACTCTCAGCCCCTACTGATGTTGTTGGTGTTGTTGGTACTGAGGACAAGAATAGGATCAGAACACCTCACATGTAAATCTATGTAAATGAACATGCCAATATCCTGGGGTTTCAGGGAGTGGGGCAACCAAGTGTTCTCAAGTTCAGCTTCATGTTGATGAACTTTTGCTTTTTGCTTGTCACCATCTACTCTGCACACCCCTGCCCTCCTCCTTTTTCAAGTTGAAGTAGCTAATTCAGCCCTCAATTTCTGTGCTGTGTGACTCCAAAAGAGCTCCCTTAACCTCTCTGATCTTATCCTCCAATGATACTCCCTCCCTTACACCCGCAGGAAAACGCCTCTGTCTGGGTGAGAGCTTGGCCCGCTCAGAGCTCTTCCTCTTCTTGACCTCTCTGCTGCAGAACTTCTCCTTGGGTTCTCCCAAGGCCCCTGAAGACATCGACCTCACGCCCAGGGAGAATGGGCTGGGGAGAGCGCCCCCTGTGTTCCAGGTCCGCTTCCTGCCCCGCAGAGGAGGGGGAGGGCAAGAAGAGGAACAGATATCCTCTGAGTCCTTGCATCTGGCCCCTGACTCTGACTGGAATTAACACGTGCAGGCTCCACCCTGCTCCACCACTTTCTCCTGTGGAAAGTTCCTTTTGTGGTCTCTCCATCATCCAGCCTGCTGTAGTCGCCACTCATCCCTAGATGGCCTACACTGTTGACTGAGGATATTTCAGGGTCAAGAAATACAGGCTGGACTTCCCTGGTGGTCCAGTGGTAAAGAATCCAGCTACCAGTGCAGAGGACATAGATTCAGTTCCTGATTTGGAAAGATTCCACATGCCATGAGGCAACTGGGCCTGTGTGTCACAGCTACTGAAGCCCTTGCTCTAGAGCCTGTGCTCCACAAGAGAGGCCACCGCAATGAGAAACTCGAGTAGTGCAATTAGAGAGTAGTCTCCGATCACCATAACTAGAGAGAAAGCCCACATGCTGCAACGAAGATCCAAGTGCAGCTGAAAACAAACAAATAAATAAAATTTAAAAAAAAGAATTAGCTTCAATAACTTAGTGTTGCCACCATCCCTAGAACAGTTAGGGTAACTAAGGCCCCAGAGGAGGGCAAGATTTAGATCCAAGCTTACCCAGAACAGCAGCATCAGCACCAGGTCTCCTGCCTCCCTCCCCTTGTCTCCATCTACTCTGCATACCCCTGCCCTCCTCCTCCGTTGAATTGAAATGGCTAATTCAACCCTTAACTTCTGCGCTGCATGACTCCAAAATATCTCTTACCTCCCTGATCTTATCCTCCAAAACCAGTGAAACCAAAATAAAATTCTGTTCTTTCTGGACAATGGCTATCTGTGCTGCCTGTCTCTCTTTTTAGGTCAAATTCGCATATTGTAACATTAACCACAGCTATTTTAAGGTGTACATTTCTTTTATATTTTGTCCTACCTCCTTTCGAAGACAATGGGCTGCTTTTCTGGGCGCCTGATGTCCTCTGCTAGCGATCAGTTGTTTTGTGCAGTTTGCTCAGCGTTCAAATGTTCTTTTGATGAATTTGTAGGGGAGAAAATGGTCTCCCTGTTCTATTCCTCCTCCATGTTAGCTCCTCCCTCTAAGGTGTACATTTCAGTGGCACTTAGTACAATCATAATGTTGTGTAAGGATCAATTCCATCTATTTCAAAACATTTTCATTATCCCATAACAAAACTCCATCCTGCTAAAACATGTCAGTCTCCAGTTCTCTCCTCCCACTGACCCCCAACAACCATTAGTATGCTTTTTTTTTCACATGAATTTACCTATTCTGGAAATTTCATATAAATAGCATCATACAGTAAGTGATCGTCTCTGGGTCTTTCATTTAGCTTAATGTTATCAGGATTGAATCATACTGTAGCAGGTATCAGTACATCATTCGTTTTATGGCCAAAGAGTATTCCATTGTGTGGAAATACCACACAATGTGTATTTTGTGTGTTCCCTCACCAGTTGATTGACATGTGGGTTGCTTCCACCTTTTGGGTGTTGTGAATGGAGCTTCTAGGAACATTCGAGAACAGGGATGCCCTGTTTTTGTTTTACTATCTATGAGGGTAATGGAAGGAAGGTGTTCTTCACTTTTTAGTCTCTTCCCGTTTCGTTTGATGATTTTCTTTTGGGTTGTGCTTATATTCCTTTCTTTCTAGTTTTTTTTTTTTGTATCTATTATAGGCTTTTAATTTATTGTTATCATGGAGTTACTATATATTGACATATCTATATATACTTATTTTAAGCTGATAATTAAGTTTATTTATATTTACATTTTTAAAATGACTTAAATATTTATATTTAAGTCATTTAAGTCCCTTTGTAGTCTAAAAAAACTCTACCTTTTTTACTCCCTTCCTTCATATTTTACATTTTTCATGCCATATTTTTACATCTTAATGTTTATCTCTTAACTGTTTATTGTAGTTTGAGTTAATTTTACAGATCTTGTCTTCTAAACTTTTTATAATACTAGCTTACTTAAGTAGTTGATCCACAGCCTTTACTAGTCAGATTTTTTCCTTCCTTTCAAATTCTTACTTCTAATAAAAAGTTACTCTGTTGTAACCTTTTCTTTTTCACTTAACACCCTTTAACACTTCTTGTAAGTTCAGTTTAGTATTGATGAACTCTTACTTTTTTGCTTGTCTGCAACACTCTTTATCTCTCCATCAACTCTGAATGATAACCTTACTGGGCAGAGTATCCTAGGTTGCAGCGTTTTCCTTTTCAGCACTTTGACCGTATCATGTCACTTCCTTCTGGCCTGCAAAGAATCTGCGGAAAAATCAACTGATAGTCTTAAAGTCTCTTGTGACTTCGTGTTCTCTTGCTGCCTTGATTCTGCCATTTTAACCGTGATTCATCTTGGTGTGGATCTCTTTGGGTTCATCTTCTTTGAGACTCTCCATGCTTTCTGTACTTGGAAATCTGTTTCCTTCTTCAGCTTCTGGAAGTTTTCCACTACAATGCTATCAAAGACGTTCTACCCCTTTCTCTCTCTTCTCCTTATTGGACCTCTGGTATGTGAATGTTGGTATGCTTGATGTCCCAGAGCTACCTTAAACTATCCTTTTTTAAAAAAATTTGTTTTTCTTATTGCTGTCCTGATTGGATGCTTTCCATTATTCTATCTTCCAGATAGCTTCTTCATTTTTCCATATCACCTACTGCTGTGACTAGGAGTAAGCAACCCAACCGTGAATGCTGCTTAAGAGCAAAGTCATAGCCCTCTGGTGAGCCCTGCTGGTTTTCAAACCAGCTAAGGGGACTTGTCTTCCTTGTGTTGGACCCCAGGGCTGGGATGCCCTTACAGATAGACTATATTTCCCATGCTACAGATGTCCAGCTTGGACTTACTTTGGCCAATGGAAGACAAGCAGAAGTGTTGAGTGTTATTAGAGTGAAATCTGTAAGAGCCATTGCATAGTCTGCCATCATCCCTCTTTTAACTCTGTTGCTAGACAAGCCAAATCCCCAAAGGAGCCTGTCTCTTCAGCTGAGTCCCCAAATGAAGAAGACGTGCAGTAGAATCTCTTGTTGATGTTCCATAAAAATAAATGTGACCAAGAAATATGCTTAGCTCTTGTAAGTGATTGAGATTCTGGGATTGTTTTTTACTACAGCATAATTAAGCATACACTGACTGAAGCAATAATGCTGTAGGTGATTCAGTGAAAGAAGAAAATAGGATCTGTGTGAGCCCTTACCCCACTGGATGAGATTCAATTCTTGTCTTGCTTTGCTCTTTTTCTCTGTCTCTCTCATTATTCTTGAGATAATTTTTGATTATTGTCTCTCTGTATTTTTATTTCTCTTGAATGTTAATATTTGTGACTCTGTCTCTAACTTTGAGGCCATCCTATTCTGAGTTTTTCTTAGTAGTGAGAAGAGAGTTTTTTCAACAGTGTGTTGTTTCAGTAATAAGGATAATAACATTAACTCATATTCCACTTTCAAAGCAAGTCATGTGGTTATGTCTAACTTCAAAGTGACTGGGGAAATGCATTTTCTGTCTATTTCTTGGGAAAAGAGAACAAAATATTGGTTAATAATCTACGTGAGTAGCACAAACTCTGAACTTTTCCTAGAAACTGATCTCAAGAAATAAGTGTCAGCATCAGAACTTCCTCACTATTCTTTTTTCACTCCTTTTGTGGGCACAGAGACCATCAATATTACTCTCCCTATATACTCATTCACATGTAACAGTGGGCAGGGTCATTGAGAAACAGGATCTAAATCTTGTCCTCCTCTGGGGTCTCAGTTACCCTAACTGTTCTAGGGATGGTTATAACACTAAGTTATTGCAGGTATTTCTTTTTAAAAAAAAATGTTGTTTATTTATTTATTTATTTATTTTTGGCTGCACTTGGATCTTCATTGCTGCACGTAGGCTTTATCTCTAGTTGTGGCACCATGCCAGGACATAGGGTGAATGAAAAGGTGAAAGTTATTCCCATTGGCTCTAAAGATAGCAAGGTCCCCAGTGACTTGCACGATAAAAAATACTTTGCCCAACCCACACACCTAGAGTCAATTAATCTTTGACAAAGGAGACAAGAATACACATTGGAGAGAAGATAGTCTCTTCAGCAAGTGGTGGTGGGAAAGCTGAACTTTTGCAGCTATTGATAAATCAATGAAGTTAGAACACTCCCTCACACCCTGCACAAAAATACCTCAAGATGGCCTAAAAGACACTACATGACTCCATAAAGTTCCTAGAATAGAAAATAGGCAAAATATTCTCTATAAATTGTACCAATGTTTTCTTAGGTCAGTCTCCGAAGGCAACAAAAATAAAAATAAAAGTAAACAAATGAGACCTAGTCAAATTTGTAAGCTTTGGCACAGCAAAGGATACCTTAAAAAGAATGAAAAAACAAACAACCTACAGACTGGGAGAAAATATTTACAAATGATGCGACCATGAAGGGTTTCATTTCCAAAATATACGAACAGCTTATATAACTCAATAACCAAAAGTAAACAACCCAATCAAAAACTGGGCAGAATACTTGAGTAAACACTTCTCCAAAAGGACATACAGATGGTGAACAGGCACATAAAAACATCCTCAGCATTGACAGGTATTAGAAAAATGCAAATCAAAACTCTAATGAGGTATCACCTCACAAAAGTCAGAATGGTTATCATTAAAAAGTCTACAACAGTCAGCAAAAACAAGACTGGGAGCTGACTGTGGCTCAGATCATGAACTCCTTACTACAAAATTCAGACTTAAATTGAAGAAAGTAAGGAAAACCACTAGCCCATTCAGGTATGACCTAAATCAAATTCCTTACAATTATTACAATGGAAGTGACAAATAGATTCAAGGGATTATATCTGATAGATAGAGTGCCTGAAGAAATATGGATGGAGGTTTGTAACATTGTACAGGAGTTGGTAATTGAAACCATCCCCAAGAAAAAGAAATGCAAAAAGGCAAAATGGTTGCCTGAGGAAGCCTTACATATAGCTGAGAAAAGAAGAGAGGCAAAGGGTAAAGGAGAAAAGGAAAGATATACCCACTTGAATGCAGAGTTCCAAAGAATAAA